TACAGCATCACCGTCCGCGAGCTTTTGCGAGCCGCTATGGCATTTCAAGCACCAGCATCAACCCCAGCGAACTTCGTCCCTTCGCCGCGTTCGCCGGTAATTCTATCTCCGATCGATCGACCGAACAACTCGTCACTCTTTCATCCTCTCTTGTTCGTCCTCGCTCGTGCATCCGGGTTGCTCGCTACTCGTCTAAGCCACCGTTACCTCGCGAAAAATTCAATCGTCACACAATACAGTATGGAAACATGAAACATAACAGTATGTTATATGTAACAAAGAATAAACGTGCAAGAAATGAAGGCAATTTCTATTTAATGTTTTAAACCACTTATAAGTCTATTTACTGGGAGAGATCCAATTTTTTTGGAAACTGTTCCTATATGACTGCAGAATTTCTTGAGAAGCGGAAAATACTTTTTTACTTTTGAAATTATTTTCATCATAGATTGTGGAATTTAATTGTGGAATTATGTATCAAAATTAACGTTTGGAATAGTAATGAACTATTTTTAATTGAGATTTGGATGTGACTCGTGTTACATCGTGACGACTGCGATATAATATAATACGCGATGTAACTCTAATCAAATGATCCATCAACTCTGTCAGTTTTGAACTAAAATCACGAATGGCTCGAAAAGAGATGAAAGGAATCATATATGCACCAAATATAGCTTATTCCTAAATTCAGCACATATAAATTCCTTTTACTTTACGAAGAATGACATTGATTCTCGTTTTAAAATATGCTCGGACGAATTTCTCTTTGAATTCCTGTTTTTCTTCATAAAAATGTCACTCCAAAAATTTTTACCCATTTAATCTCGTTAAGAAAAGTTTCTCTTTTGTAGAAATAATAAAGAAATTCATTCTCTCTTATGAGTTTTTCATTTAGAAAATGCGAATTAAAAAATATCATGCTTGATTATTTGTTTTGGATTACCCTCTCAAAATAGTATCTATTAACATAATATTTAGTATTTTACAAAGATTAAGCGTAGAACGAACGAAGTATGTAAATTCAAAACTTTATTGACATATAACAAAAATGTATTAATGCTAAATACATTAGATGAGATACATTGCATTAATTTATCTCGTTCGAATACCTACATGAATATTACGTAGGAAACGAGAATGTGAATACGCAAATGGTGAGACGACATGACTGCTGTTTTAATGCCTATACCAGATAACTTAAATATAAAAACAAAAAAGGAAAGAAAAACGAAAATAAAAAATGAAAAAATTATCCAAAATTAAAAAAACAGAGAATATAAATGTGGTAAGTAGTTATTATAATTATTTTAAAATTTATGGATAAAGGCAACAAGAATATCAGCTTGCACAAAACGTATTGCGTGATAGCATTACAGGAACACAAGAGCACTTGATATGATGAAGCAATTTTGAAAATATCCGCATACCTCTGTGATCGAAAGGCCTTCCCGTATATCTGCATTACATTGGTAACGAGCAAGCGTGATGTTATATTGCAAGTCGATCGATACGAATGGTACGCGAACGAGCATTCATCCCTCTGTGTGTCAGTCGCTCCTGTCGTTGCTGTCTCCGCCGCACACCCTCGCTCTGTTGTCGCAGCAACAGCCGCCGCCGCTGGCATCCCTCTTCCGCTTTCCCTTTCGACGGCCTCGGACGAGCGCGAGAACGCGAGCGGAGGGGTGCTGAAAACCCCTTTAAAGCTTTAACGCGACCGACCAACCGACCCATCAGTTGTTAACGCGCGCACGTGCCAGCAAATGTTCGCGAGAAACTTCTGCGTCGGCTCTTGCTCGTTAAACCGCTATCGAATTGTCATAAAAATTCATATTGATAGAAACGCTCTTAACTTCGGTCCGGAGCTGCGGCCGAGGATCTTTACGTTTGGAAGCAAAATCGATGAAATAAAGAATTTGTCTACAAAATTTTTTTGTCCTTTTATTATAACAAAAAAATATATAAAATTATGTTCTTATTCATACTCTCTAAAACTTTTAAAATGAATCTCATTCTGAGGAATTTAGAAATATCACTCTTAAAGATTGAAAATTCAGCCGTTCTTTTTCAAGACTGGCTCAATTTTCACTCTTTGGAATGAGATTCCACTTCAAAGAATTTAGAGAGTGTATACAATATATACTATATGTGAATATATTATTCTAATTAACTTAATACATACGATGGTCTTCCAGTCTTTTACTGCACACAATTTCCGTATTTCGATGTACACTGCCAGTACTGAAAATAATTCACGTAATACTATAGATTTTTAATCCTGGCAGTGTATATCGGAACATAATCAAAATATCGTTCGTATCCCAGGTTAATCTTCATTACTTTTACATCAAGTATACAAAAATTATTCAGGGATTTTTACATATTTTTAGAAAGTATTTGTAAAGTTGTATATTTAAAAAAAAAGGAAAGAATGGTGTCATTATTTAGTCGGGTGTTCCTAGTATTTCAAAGAAAAGAAATATACAGGACACGAATGACCCAATCATGTGTATTAAGGATTACTAATTAAGATTTTTTTTTTTTTTTTTTTTAAATTATGTCCGCCAATATTTCATCCATTGATAATCGAAACAAGAGCTTGCAGTAAATTTGGGGCAAAATTAATTTTTCAATTAAAACAATGGCTACGTTTACATCGTACGCTTAGTCCGCGATCTATACGATAGATGTTTTTGTTTGATTAACAGGATAAACAAGGACACCTATTATATAGGCCGCGGTCTAAATGCACGATGTAAACGTAGCCATTACGTAGCATGTTTGAAAATGTATTTATTTCTATCTCATAAAAAAGAGAAACACATAATACTGCAAAATATTAGACATAAGTCAGCAGTTAATGTATCGAAAATGCGAAATATCTATAAATTTGATCATAAACATCGCGGTATTGTGGTATTTCTGGACACGCGACGGTGGCTTTCACGGTCATCACAGCACACTCGATCGATCTATTTTCGATCCACGGCCAATTGGACGGACGTGCGAACTAAAGACGCAACGCGGAACGAAAAGGAAAGCGTGCGAGTCGCGAGTGCGTTTGCACGCGACCTCGTTCTTTTGCCGTACTCGTCGGCACTTGAAAAGCTCGTACGACCTTCTCGGTTTTACTTCTCGAGGTGTGCACGAACCACGCCATCCTGTGGTACCGCCAACTGTCACGACGTGACGTTTCTCGGCCCGCCTCTTACGAGCGTCTCATACGCGTGCATGCGTGCGTGCGTGCGTGCGTGAGCAGATGTTTTAAACCGGATTCACGAAGGGAACGAGCGAAGAAATTTTCGCTGGAAAGAGAAAACGATTGAGTTCGGCTAATCGAGGTTTATCTGACAATGAGACACAATTATCTGAATTATACAGAGAATCTGAGATTATATTGCAGAATTTAGAATCACGCAGGTGGTAAGAAAACGATAATTAGTTTAAATTGTAGTTAACTCTAAATAACTTTCATGTCCATTTCTACCAATGTAGATAAATTTTCATCTCGGTTTAACTTACTTTTTACTTTCTTCTAATTCCAAGAATTAAAATTAATCTACATTGGTAGAAATGGGTCTTAGAGGAACCTAATAAAAGATTGTCAAAGTTACTTGCATATTTCATGAATTCGTGACTGTTGGCGTTATGAACTTCATAGCGCTCGGTTCAAGACTAATTCATCCTTACAAATCAATATACCTATATATATGTACTCGTACATCACTTGAAATTAATTTTGCGAAAAATATCTTTATCTATTTTTCTTTCCAATAAAATGCATATTTATCAATGCACATGTTTATTTTGTGTATTATGTATTGGTAATTTTTGTTTAAAGTAATACGTGGGCGTTTCGTAACGGCAACGAATCACGAATCAAAGTATTTCGAGTATCCGTTCGATTGTATGAATAATCAACATCACAGAGGAATTAATCCTGCGGATATAATGATATGATTTATATGCAATTATTTACGTGAACCGAGTGCAACGGCGTGGCACAGCACTAATATCTGTATCCACGTATGACGGGCGCTCTCTTGATCGAATGGTCGAGCAATTTCATTTTCCGCACTAATTTATTCATGACCATATAGTGGAGGGCTCTCGATTGCAACCCTTTTTCTCGGCGCCAGATAAGAGCAGTCACCACATGTGTTTAGGTTTTATGCGTCACAATCAAACAAAATTTGGAGCCTTTTTTTTCTTTGATCTCGAAACATTTGTGATGAAATAATCGCGAAAATGCATTATAGATGTTGGATATTATATTAATATTTGCAAATATTGATATTTGTTCAGGAAAAAGATATAATCTATATCGATAATTGCCTCCCCTTGCAAGCACATATTGATACTTTCGTACAATTATTATCGATGCAATTGTATCTTGTCAGATATAGTTTACACCGAATACTATTTAAAGTCTGAAACACAATTAAAAGAACAGGTGATAAAAACAGAGAATAATCAACAGGGAAATCTGTTATTTTGTTTCTTTATATTTGTGTTTTTCAATTGTGTCTTTAATGGAGAAATTTTTACGTTTTCATTTTAGAGGAAAAAAATTACATGCCATTAATACTCTATACTTTTGATTAATACATCATAAAGTTGTCTATTGATATAACTAAAAATATTGGGGACATCCCTAAATTGCATTAAAAAAGATGCTTTCCCTCTTCTAGGAAAATCCGCGAAGAAAGGAATTTTCGCTGGAAATAAGAGAAAACGATTGAATTCGACTCTAATTGAAGTTTACCTGAGACACAATTATCAGAATTATACAGAATTTGAGATGATATCACTGAATTTAAGAAATATCTCACGATTTGTGTGTGTTAAATCGCACATCATTATTAAACGATTTCCGAGGACATTTTGCATAGATTAACAATACTAGTAATTTTGTAACGACGTTTTCGCATGATAATGATAGTACGACGTTATCTTGCGCTTTTTTCAAGAGCATAAATACGAGCACATCGATTTTGCAGATGCTGTCGGTGAGCCAAGGAATGGAGGTCGGCAGCAGCGGACGCGGTGCATCGGCGGAAGATGACCCGACCGTTGGTGCGGTCAGCGGTGGAGTCGGTGGCGGCGGCGGTGGCGGTGGCGATGGTGACGATACCAGAAGGCGTCGAGATATTCAGGCGGTGATGATCGCCGCGGCGAGGGATCGCGCGATCCGCACGGAGAGCGTCCGGCATGATCTTGCTCTCAATCTGCCGCCGAGACTTGAGCTCCCGGACGGCGAGGAGCACCCGTACGGGGCGCACCCGGATCTTCACCTTCGCAACCCAGAACAGGTAAAAAAAAAGCGCGAAGAGTTGGAGCGAGACTCGCGAAATTCGAATAAAATCACGTCATCGAGTGGCTTGATGGATTCGGTGAATGCCCAAGGATTCGAATTGCGTCCGAACAAGGGGTATATTCTTGAATCTATATTGCACACGAAAATCTATAATATACGTAACGTGTGATATACTACAGGATTTTCGTATGCGATATTTTTTTAGAAATAATTCTCTAGATCTTTCTCTTTATTTTCCTCTTCTTTTTTTCTATTTTGTTTATATTTTTGTCATATATTATTTTATCTTACTTTCTTTGTATTCATTGATGCTTTTTATTTGTTCTTAGAGGGCTTGCCCTAAAACGTTAATAAACGTTATTTATCTTCTCTCTTTTTTTCAGTGTTTCTGTTTACGACTGGTTTCTCCAGAATTCGTACTTACTACTTTTATTAGCGTTATAGAATATCACTCAAAAGTACAAAAATGTTAATTATTGTTCTTAAAAACGGCATATTATTCTCTAAATCATGATTAATGATTTGATTATCAGATCCTTGTTTTTATGACAAGGATAAGGTTATATTTAGAATATATCGATACGTGTATGAATATATTTTCGCTGTCCTTTGCCTCCAGCCAGGAGAATGACCGAAAAAACACATTTATTTATTCGCTTCCTGTCTCTCTGCGAATTCTCAGGTTCAAGTACTCATTATGCCTCGTCATCATTATGCAAGCAAGAATATTAAACTTCAAACCGCTTGAAGCACTTCAGGCTACCGCAATCACCGCTACAGCAATACAGATTTACATTCTAGAAATTATAGTCTAAAAATATACGAAACAAGAGAGTAAAAAATAGTTTAATTCCTTAAAATTAGCCACTTAATTTTAAATTATAAATCTGACATTCAAAAAACCTGTGTAGAAGTATCTTGATGTTATGAATGAAAAAATGAATAAATTTCTTGATTCTCTTAAAAAATTAATTTTTTATGAATGAATATATCAGTATATCACAATTTTATTAAGTAAATCTTGTATTCGTGCATTCGATAATCGATGTAGGGGTTGTCGAATTACGATATCGAAGCCTAAACTCAATTATCTTGAATTTCAAAGAGTTCGCTTGAATATTCTGCCATTTTTATTCTTCGTATGCTTAACTATATCGAATTTTCTTGTTTTCAGGAGAGCGAAATTTATCAGAAATGCGTGCGAGCGCCGCCGAATCGCACTGTGTTCGATAGCGAAAGTCCGCCGCCTTATCGGACGCCAAGTAGCAGCCAGCATCTCCACCCGGGACTGCTCGATATGCCTGGCGACCGGGTGACGCGGAGTCAGAGTCCCAGCAGCAGCAATTTGTTGTTGAATACCGCACGCTCGATGTTCAAGATGTTTCCGAGCCATACGGCGCCATCGTCGACGTCGATGCCGGTCAACAAACCGCCCTTTTCCAGTTATTCCGAGTCCAGTAGTAACGTGAGCAGTAATCTGAGCAGTAGCAATCTGTCCAACATCACCGTGGTGCCCTGCGAAACCGACGAAAGCCGGCAAGAGCAGCAGCAACAGCAGCAACAACAACAGCAACAGCAACCCCAGCAGCAGCAATTCCATCAGAAGGTCTGATCCGCGGCGTCCTCCTTCCTTGACGCCGTTGTCGTCATTGTCGCAGCTGCATCGTCCGATCTCGAGAACGAGCGATGGTACTCAAGATCGTTCTGCGCGACTGCAACGACAACGACGACGCCCTTCAAGACTGACTCACGGGAGAAGCTTCAACATAGGATAAATTCCATTGGTCATGTTCCATCGTGTTCAGCAACGTGTATTACATATACGCGAGAGAATATAATATCCTCCCGACCGGTAGTATCCTCGTTGAATCGTTCTTCCGGCGTTCTTCTATAATGAGAGAGAGAGAGAGAAGAGAGAGAGAGAGAG